GGTCCCGGGGGGCGGTTTTCGCACTTTGGTGGTTTGTTGAACTCGGGCCACCAACCCATAGTCCCAGTCGTGCACGCGCGCCCCGCGGGACTGCGTTCAATTTTTTCGCGCGTGCAGCGCGTATAAACGCGATTGAACGTGGGGTAGGGGGGGTTGAACGCTCGCGTTTGAACGTGAACGCGCGTTCACAGCGTTCAACCGGTTACACAGCAAGCGTAATTACGCCGCTCCAACGGGCGAATGCTATGCGGCTCTCTGGGGGATTAGTCACTTTCGTGCTTACCTGTACGGGCGAAAATTCACCCTGGTGACTGATCATGAGTCCCTGTTGGCTCTGAAGAAGTCGAAGGATTACTCGGGCATGATCGGGCGATGGGCAACGGTGTTGCAAAGCATGGACTTTGACATCCGCCATCGGAAGCACGAGAGACACGGGAACGCGGACGGATTGACACGACTACACCGGCCTGAGAAAGTTCCGAAGAATGAGGAGGTAATTCCGTGGAGCGAACCCGAACAGGAAATTGGACCTCGGTACGACCAAGTAGAGATCTTATCGAAGCAGTAAGTGGCACGAGGACTAATTGTTTTGTTCTACCCTCCCTGCATCCTCTCCTCCTCTGACATCATGGCTACTCCACTCGCCTCCGCAACCCCTTCATCTCCTACTAATTCTTCCTCTCTCACATCCTCCGCTTTCTTTGCCACCCTCCCCGATAAATTTTGTTATTTTTGCACGTGTATTGCATGGGTTTATGGGGTTGACTGTCATCCCTTCGAAACTGGGTTTGTCGATTGGGTAGAATGTACCACGTGTGTCAATCGTGCGCACGGGGCCTGCGTTCGATATCGGACGAGTAGCAAGGAATGGAGGTGCCCCCTGTGTAGAATGAACAAGCTCCCCACGGAGGTTCGATTTGAGGCCGCCCGTACGAACGGTCCCGAATACGACGAAAAATATCGACGAGCGGAAATCTGGACGGATAAAATTTTATTGGCGAAATTAGCGGGATTATCATTGGGTCACCTCACCAAACACGACAGACGTAGGGCGACCGAGAGATCTCGGGACTATCGATGGATCAACGGTCATTTGGAAAAGCATAAAACTGACGGATCGGGTTCGTGGCTGACCGTTCCCCATCCCTTCCAGAGATACGATTGGATTCGATCTGCTCACGAGGAACAGGCCGCTCATTTCGCGATACGTGTCACAGAGGCAACTGTAGATCAGAATCGATGGTTCTGGTCCAATATACGAGGTGATGTCAAATACATTGTCACTAACTGTCCGATCTGTGCCGCTGATCGCGCCCCTATACGGGGACCAAACACAATCGTACCAACGGAAGTAGAGTCTCCTTTTCAGCGAGTCAGTATGAACACGACAGATATTGACGTGCCACCTGGCCCAAACCGCTGTGAATATTCTATTTTATTAGTATTAATTGAACACTTTTCCAAGTACATCGAGGTCTATCCCTGTAAGACCCGAAAAGCCACAGAAGTAGCCACGTACATTGAACGGTTCCTCTATACCCATCTAGATACGGAAGAAATTCTTACCGACAATGGATCTAAATTTAAAGGCGAGGTAGCAGAACTGCTTGCGCGAAGGGGCGTCATTCTCCGACATACGGCACCCCACGTGTCCCAGTCGAACGGGTTGGCCGAGAATGCCAACCGTATGATTAAAACCGCCCTTCGCAGGAACTTAGCGGCACACGACACGCGTCCTTGGCCCGAAATCGTGTATCAGATCGTCGGGATCCACCGGGCCACCCCTCACGAGTCTACGGGGTTTACCCCCTTTCAGCTTCGAACTAATAGCCTCCCCTGTGTCGATTACCGGGGCAACTCGAAATTTGCCGAAGCAGGGGGTAGAGACACGCATGCGGCCCTCAAGGCCAAGGCCAAAAGGTACACCGATTTGATGGAACGGGCCGTCCCGAAGCTAGCCCGAAAAAGGCAAATGATGACCGAGCTGGCCCACAGTAGACAGATCCGTAGCTACGAGGCCAGGAACGGAAATATAGGGCCCCAGTACCAATATAACTTAGGGGACCTAGTGCAGGTACGTAAATGTGCACGCGACCGGAAACCCGCTCCCAAGTTCTCTGGCTGTTTTCGCATTGTCGAACTCGGACCCAACGGCGCTAACACGGTGCGCATCGCGCCTGAGGCTAGCGCCAGCCATAGCTCCGTCCCCATCGTAAGACATACCTCCTACCTCCGTCGTCTTCCTCCTTCCGATCGTCCTCCCTCTTCTTCTTCGGAAAGCGTGGAGAACGACGATGATCTAACTTTCTCCCGTCTTTCTCCCTCTTGTCCTTCGTCCTCCTCTCCGACGTCGCCATGAGTTTTATCACGGAGCGGATTCTCTATGCACAGTTGCGGCAGCCACGTGGCCACATCTCCGAGATCCGGCAAGTTTGTCACCCTCGGCTTAGTACGGATCTCCGCCGTTTAATGCGATTCTTCTGCGACGAAGGTATTTGTGCCGCCGCCACGTTTTGAATAGAAGGAAGCCCTCACGCGATAGTGTTCGCAGAGGTTACTGCAGTTCATCGACGAGTAGGTCCCAGAACGAGCCACGTCACCACAGTGGCGGGATTCACCGGCGACCTCAGCTCCGTCAATCCACTGCGCCATACCCCGATCTTGGCCTCGCTGCGCGAGTGGACGGAGCAAGTGTCCAACGTGTGGCAGCACATCCTCGCTCGGGAGGGGTATAACATCATCCCGATCGTTGCATCGGATCTTGACGGTATTCGCCGATCACCGCGCGAGCGGCCAGTTGCGATCCCGACCATCGTCCCCTTCCCCCGTCCCCAATGAACCACGCTGCTCGTCTCGCTCCTCTCTCTACCTTTGGTCTCCCTTCTCTCTTCCCTACCTTCTGGCAATCCAATCTTTACCCTTCTCTTTCCTTCTCGTTCGAGCCTCTTTCAGTCCCTCTTATCATTCCTGGATATTGGCGATTGTGGCGCGGAACTTTTGAGGAG